TAATCTATATCACTGACTTTCAGCTTGTTGTGTTTGTGGATATATGACTGACTTTAATTATCCATAAAATCATCAGATTCTCTGTAAGATTAAGGTCGACTATATATATATTTAGAAGTAGAGGCTTTAAAACCAAGTTAATGCTCAAAGTACAAACATCACTAATGTCACATAACTTTGCCGACATGTGGCCAACAGTAATGTTTTAATGTTCTTCGTTATTAAACATTCGCACATAAATAAGTGACATCATATTCAGTACTTACTTTTGACAGTTCACTCTCCGGCCGCTCCCTTCTGCCGTCTGTTGTATTTTGCGGCAAAATTATCCACACCCACCGCCATGCTATGAATTGTGGGATATATGGGACCACGAAGCGTGCACTGGACCACGCTTGATATTTGGGGAAATCGACGGCGCATTTGGAGTATGCATTTGAAGTATGCATTTGAAGTACACTTCGAATTGGGACAGCCGTCGTCGCGTGGCGGTGATGTAATCGCACTTGAAATGCGTACTCCAAGCGTGCAGACCCTGAATTGGGACACACCCTACGTAAGACACGAGATGACACATCACAACACAAGACAATAACTTAAGTAATAAAAAGAGGTTATTAGAGGTTATTCATCATAGTGGTTATTGATTATTGATTGGTTTGTATCCTCCAGCTGCAGGTGAATGATGGTGGAGAAGGTGACATACTCCAAAGAGCTGCTGCAGCGAGGAGGTGGGGGGGAGGAGCTGAGCTTCAAGGAGCTGCAAGCTGAAAACTACAATCGGGAGCAGGTGGAAGTGGAGGGTGAGTTCACTGACCATGCGATGCTCATGAGGTGTTCACTGATTGCAGGTTTGAGTTGATCAGCTGATTAATGTTTGTGTCTTCCAGAGAAACTGAAACCTCTGAGCGAGGAGGAGGAGCTATTTGTTGGAGTTGCTACCTCTGATTTTGGAGTAACCCAGGGGTGCAGGAACTCATGGCCTCAAATGCCACTTTCCTGCAGGTTTTAGATATCAAGCTGGGTCAACACACCTGAATCCTGAATGAACCTGAATGATTAGTTAATTACCAGACCTCTGGAGAACTTCAAGACATGTTAAGGAAGTAATTTATCCATTTAAATCAGCTGTGTTGGATCAAGGACACATCTTAAACCTGCATGACACTGGTGCTCGAGGCTTGGAGATGCCTACCCCCGGAGTAACCTTTGGATGTATTCGAGTACATTAGAGTTCTCAGAGTAACTGTGGCTCTCCCTGCAGCTGCTTCCTGTCTCCTCATGTGGACCTCTCACCGGTGCTTCCTTCCAGATATACGACAAATTCCAGTCATATGCTGCAAGGCCTGCTGGATAATAAACATACACCCTGCTCTCTGCTGCCACCTACTGTGTGCACCAGAAACACTGTTCTGCACGTGTGTGAAAAGATGCTTAACGTAGATTGAAAGGATTAAGTTCCTGTTTCCTGCTATTCATATGTCAGAGGAAGAGGACTGCTTACATCTTACAGTTACAGTCAATTCCTTCTTTTGAAGAGTGCTCCCTCTCATCTGTTTTGATTTTTATTAAAGCTTCAAACAATAAATATTACATCAAATTCACATCACGTTCCTCAGAATTCACTAATTAAGATCAGTTTAAGAAATCATTCAACAAAATTTATTTGATAGGAAAAATGTTATTGTTTGTTAGTCTCATCAGAATTTCTAAACAAAAACAGAAGCATATTTATATTAAGAAAGATGAAATTTTAATCAGATGATCTGCCATAAAATGTTTCATCTTACTCCTGTTACCTGTATCCTTTCCTCCTGCACAGGTGCAGTCATACAATGTGTTTTGGGCTTTTATTGTGAAAAGGACAGGAAAAATGCATACATCCAGGACAATCGAGTTTCTGGTATGGGTCGGCACGTCTCATGGTGCATTCAGAAGTCAATGTTTCTCAGGCAGGTTCCTCATGCATAATCAGAGCTGTTCTGTTCCAAACACTGAGGAAAGGAGTTTCAGTGCTTCTTCCTTTATAGCTCTGTTTAGCAGAGGAGACACTGGACTATCCTAGAAGTCCTTTGCTGGATTGCAGTACTTGGGATTCATGGTTACTTCAGGCCATGTCCACACTGATACATTTTTGTTTGAAAACGCATCTTTTTCTCTCCGTTTTGGCGTTCTGTCCACACTGAGACGGCGTTTTTGGTCAAGGAAAACGCAGTGTTTTGAAAAACCCTCTCCAAAGCAGATACATTTGAAAACGTCGTTTTTGCATTGCAGTGTGGAAGCAAAACCAGAGCCTTTTCGAAAATGATGACAGATTTTAGTCATGTGATGCAGTCTTGTGACAACACGTTCTCACTCCCAAAGCGTAACATTTTACGCTAGGTGGCAAATCGTCAACATATTACGTTTTCGGCTACCCACCATGTTCCTAAATGACGACCTCGGAAAAATGAGGAAATATGAGAACCATATGGACTCAATCTACACATGTTCGCTCTTTTTCGTCAAATCACTTAGAAACACGCTATTTAACATCATTAAAGTCCTGGTTAACCTCAGGAAAAAGGTTATGGTTAGGGCTGGGGATAAGGTTAGGTTTAGGGCTGGAATACAGGGCTGGAACGTCGATTACCGCGGGAGTGTCATTGCACTGGATTTCGGCCATAACCCGCCGCGTACCATAAGAACGCCGAAGGTCTCCTTTTGCGTTCCTCAGGAATGCCCCGGGACGTGACAAAACGTCGGCATGTTATGCCTCGGGAGTGAGAACGGGCTGCTTGTGACCAATGAAACTAAGATAGCGGAGGGCATTATACAGTAGTTGTTTTGTTTGCGCTCAATTTTGACAGCCCTATTAAAGATTATTATCAGTTTGTACATGCTCCAGATAGCTGTGGGGCTGACTCACTGCCAGACTTTTGTGTTACAGCAAAAACTCCACCTCATCGTTAGTCCATTTAAAAAACTCTGAGCTTTTCCTCGACACTTTGCCGCGATGTTTCAGAGAGTCGAAAGTAAATAAACGGCAGACAGAATTGTCTTGTGTTTCACGCATGCACAGTACTGGAACGTAAGCGTTTTCGGCCGATTCAATGTGGACACACAACTCTGTGAAAACGACTGAAAATGATAGTGTGGACGGCGAGCGTTTTCAGACAAAAACGCCATTTTCCAATTTATCCGGGCTATTGTAGACATAGCCTCAGGTCAGCTGGGATCAGTGATGATGGAGGAAAACCTAATGAGGGAGGAGGAAAGACTGTCCACTGGAGGACAGAGTGTGAAGGAGAGCACTGCAGGTCTGCTAACCAAAATGAGCCAGTGTGAGCTCAGGTTCAGTGTTTCTCTCTGAAAACAGCAAGACACGTCATATAAATGAGAGGAAGCTGAAGGAGAATCGATACCAGGGGCGATTTTAGCCCATTTTTGGGGGTGCTTCAGTTACTCTTTATATAGTTAGGTAGGAGTCAGACCATGTTTCTTTTTAGCTGAAAAACATTACACCAGGTAACCTGCTGTGTTGAAAACGTGTTTTCTGACAATGTTTGCTACTCTACAATCCGTCCTGCTCTGTAGTAAATTCAGCAACATCTGACCGTTCTGTTGCTCCCATTGAAATGTATGCAGCCTATTTAAAATCTAAAACTGTCCGTAGCCTACTGTTGTTACCACTGTCCTGTTTGAAATGGATACTAACTAGCTAACTGACTGGATATAACTCCTGTTGTGTGTGTGTGTGTGTGTGTGTGTATTTGTGTACAGAGAGACAGCCAGGTTCATAATGGATATAAAAAAGTTTTTTCAAAAAAAAGGAGCCACATTCAGGTAAAAGTGTAAAATCAAATGATCCATCAATCAAGAATAATGTTGGATCAGTGTTTCAATGTTTATATCTTTTATTGGTTGTTCATGTGGTTTGGTTATTTGCCTTTTGGTTGAAAGTACACTGAGAGAGGACTTTTTGTTAGTGATCTTAATGATATTCATTAGTGCCCTCACTGACACACAAAACAAAACAACGACTACACAACAGGACAACTACACAACACAACACACTAAGTATACACTCCACACTAAACATCACAAATCTCCCACATCTAAAAACTCTCTCACTCGCTCTCTCTCGTTCTCTCACTCACTCGCTCTGTCTGGCTGCCGTTACCATCATTCCCAAAACTTTCTAAACAACCAAATCCCATGTGTTGACTTTTTTTAATTGGCCGACATGGTACATTTTTCCACCGATAGGAAAGAGGTGGCTTTTCCCCCCCCCTTTCTTTACTGTTTTTGTGCTGTCCTTAAAACGCTTAAAACACACACACACACAAACGTGACGACAGTATTTAGAAAAAAAGCGTGGCTTATATATATTATCATAACTCTGGATTTACTGGCCTGTAATTAAAATGTAAAAACTTTAAAGTCTGAACTTTCAATGTGGGCTGAAATAGAGACTCAGTGTGGCTGCAGCTTGTTGCTATGTCAGCTTACATCAGTCATGTGATTTGGAGGTGCAGCGTGTCCGTGGACCATGGAGGGTTAATAACATTAACTACTGAAAACAAGAAAAAAGCCGGTCCTGCTATGGGCTGAACCATTTGTTAATGGTGGAGGGGGGGAACACTATGCAATATATTCAGTTTTAGCATTTATATTCACTGTTGACTGTAACTACGCTCAAACTGTTAATGCTATCTTATTTTAATAAACAACACTGTCCTAAGCAAAACTGGGGTGGCACTTGGGGTGGCAAGGAATCATTTTAGGGTGGCACTTGCCACCCCATGCCACCCTTCTAGATCCGCTCCTGGGCAAGGGTACCTAGACCTGGGGTATAGAGTACGCTTGGGGAGTGTGATTGTGTGTACAGTGTCTATTTATGTCTGTCTCCACGTTGGGTGAGTGCTGAGTATTTGCATATGAGGGTGGGAATGGATGTTTGTATCTGTGTGTGCCTGTTTGTCTGTGTGTATATGTCAGGTCGTGTATCACATGCCACCTCTCTAGGGGCATCTCTGGCCCTCCAAGGTATGGAGGTCGATCTCCCCCCAACACTCCCCCTGCCAGTGGCAGACGCCCTCAGATATCAGTGCATTGGTGGTTCTTTGTGTCCGGGGATGGGCGTCCAGGTACACACCGGCTCACTCCTTGGTGGCTGCTTGTCGGGGCCTGGAGCTCGGGCCCCTTCGGGGGGTGCGGTGCCCTCGGCCTCTCGGCATGGGGCTTGGTCACTCTGGCACAGCTGGCTGCCAGCGGAGCTCACGGGCACGTCACTGCAACCCCCCCTGGCTTCTGCTCCGCGGCTGCTGAGTGACCCCTCATCTGGGGCTCTCCTCAGCTCTTTCCGGGAGAGTGGCACGGTTGCCCCTCTGTTGGTCTTCCTTGGTCTCTTGTGCTCTGAGGGCCTCTGGATGACTTGAGCCTGGATCTCCTCCAGACCTGCTTCATGCCCTGGAGGACGGGGCT